CATGTAAACACAATCCTAGTATTCTAAATCTCATCTATTCCCACTGCCTATTCTTCACCTAAAGTCATAATCCCCCGTTTGTCACATCATAATCACTTCCCCAGAGCACTGCTGCTTCAGGTGGGGAATAAAGCAGCAGGAGTAGATGAACTCTTAGAAACAAAGATCCTAATTTCTTACAGCAAGGGACATCCTTCACTAAGCCTATTTGGCTTTACAGATTAGACCCTCCTGGAGTCCCACAGAGTAATACATGAATGCTAGAAAAGCACCCATGTAAAATATGCTGGTTTGTCATAAGGCAAGACCAAACATGGTAGGGTGAGGAAGGGATGAAGCAAATGTCTCTCAGGTGTCACTCAAAATAATTGTTAGCTTCTACTAACAGGGCAACATTCACTGGAAAGAATAAAATAACTGTAGAGCCATCCTTATCAAGCCAAACTTAACAAGAATTTGCACCAGACAGGGGCTGTGGAAGTCACTAATGAAAGTCCCTCCGACCTGGAGATATGCCAACCCATGGAGGATGAATGGTTTGTCTTCAGTCTTTGGTACAAGCTCTTTCATATCTTCCCTAACAGTGCAAACAGTCTTGTCATCTTCTGGCAGTCACTATTTTCCTTTCCTCCCTTGCCTTTTGTCCAAATCTCTCCCCTCACCCCCTCAAAAAAGAGAGACAGACAGAGAGACAGAGACAGAGAGAGGATATAAAAAAACGTGGTTTCATTAATTACTTGAGAGATACAAATTAAAACATCTCCATCAGTAGACATAATACATTTTCTTTTTCACTGATGTTAGAAATGGAACAAACTCTTAGCAGAGGGGATAAGGATGGTCACAAGTGACACTGGTCAATTTAAAGTTTAAGAAGGGTTCTTTGTGTTTCCAAGCCTAATAGTCGGCAGTAGGCTCTTCACATTTTCTGAGACTTTAAATGCCGATCAATAAATATTCATTCTAAATTAACCATCCTTGGAAAGAACTGACCTCTACTTATCTGAAATTTTCCTGGAAGGCTCCATGTTTGACTTAAGATTTTTTTTTTTTAACCCCTAATGGTACCTGCCCATAGCAAGTACTAAAGGTATCTGTCTGCTGCACCAAAAGAAAGAGTGGTTAGCTTAGTGGTAAGACAGTCAAGGTAATGAGCTCAACTAGCTGTCCGAGAAGCATATGGAAGCAGGAAGGGGCCACTGAGAGAGAACAGATGAGGAAGTAAAATTCTATCACCACTTCAGGAAAAGTAGCTTATGAGCCAGTAGCATTTTCTTCATATGTAAAGGGTAGCTATTGATTTTTAATATAATGTGTACCTTTCTTTCAAAAATTTCATAGGAGAAGCAGGATAACAGCCTTGAATGTATTTATTTTCACTATCAAGACAATCAAGTGAGATGCACTAGATGAAACTGCATTCTTACTGGGACGGACAAGGCAATAGTGTGTGTGACTGAGCAGCCGATGGCGGGAGTGTCTGTCATCATCCTCATAGTAATTAGTGTATAGTTCCTGGCATGCAGAGAACATAGGTGACAAAAGTTAACTGAAAAGAATGAATGAATAATGAATAAAAGAATTACAAGAGCTCTGAGAAAATTACTAGAAATTACCTGTACTCATTTGTTTGTAACTTGTCTCCCTACTAGACCATAACGCTACAAAAGCAGGGACTTTATCTGACTTATGTCTAATGCCTAAAATAGTACCTGACTCAGTAACTTATTTTTCAAACAAATATGTGAATAAAATATATTTTTGAGTTGGAGAAACTAAAGTCATTTATTCAACGTTGACTCCTCTTAATACAATATACATTTTGAGAAGTACAAAATGGATAAATTTACAAGATAGGATAAATCCATGAGTACACCCAAATCTTCAATGAAAAGGACTCTCTTTCTTTCCAGTAGTGCCTGGTTCAATCTTGTGCCATAGCAACTGCTCCGTACATGGTTATAAATCAAGAAAATTTAAGAAATTATTAGGGTTAAGATAAAAGTGATTTATTTTTATTCTTCTCTTTTATCTGCCCTCTCTGTTTTACAGAGGTCAGATAAAATATGTATTTTATAAAATGACATATCGAGCACAATGGGTGGAAATTTTTAAATGAGATAAAAAATTTCAGGAAGTCATAATTCTTAAGAAGGGGTAATATATAAACAATAAGAATCCTCGTCTTTTGAAAGTAGTCCAGATTTGAAGGAGGGAGGGAGAGAGAGAGAGACACGGAGGGAAAGAGGTTGATTTTACCTTCATTTATTTAAAAAAATCAAAGTAAAACAAACATGTTTGCAATGCCTCTGCAACAAAATTCACGGTGCACACATGTAAACAAGAAAACATAAAATACGTTTAGTGGTCTATTTATATACCAATATTTTTGATGATCTATCTAAATTTACCTGGTACAGTACTTTAGATATGATTAATCATTGTGAAGGGGTATTTACAAGGTAAAAGAACAACCCCATAACAATACTCCATACAAAGCTTTGAATTTTCATGTTTTAACCATAAGTAAACATGTATTAATTCAGTATTACATTAAAACGCTTAAAGTGCAGAGAATAACAACTTCTTCATATGCTGATGAGGAAATGCTTCAAAACAGGACTGAGGTTACATGAAGCCAGCTAAAACACCAGTTAAGTATCATCTTTAGTATGCTTCAATAAAAGAATTACCTCTAGATCTTAGAGCACAGAGGAATAGATGGGATTCCTCCATATTAAGTCCCCTTTCTGAACATGTATGCAAGTGGCAATGACTCCCTGGCGTGTTTCTGCACTGCCTTTGTCAGCCATGGCCAATCCAGTCTAGTGCACTCAGTTCCCGGAATCAAGGAAGTCAAGGACCTGGGACTAAGTTTAAGCCATGAGTAAGCCCTTTGCTTTTCCTCCCTGGTGGGGTCTTCTAGTCCTCAGGAAGGAAGCAGAGAAAAGCTAGTCGAAGCAAAGAAGTGGTGTCAAGGGCCTGACTACTCTTAAGCAGATGGTGCCAAGAGAGTAATACCAAGCAGTCTTGAAAATATGACTGCTCAGTCGGTGGCTTCAAACAATAGACCTGGCCGTGCCGTATTGGCCACTGAGTGATCAATATGATCAGATACTTCATAATATTATCGGAACTCCATAGTTCTACACCATATCTCGCGGTGCATCATAGGTCATCCATTCCAACCGGTTCTGAGTCATTATACACTCTTGTTTTTTATCAGATTTTAAAAAGTGATTTCTATCTAATTCACCCTCTTTCCATATGCTGAACATCTCAGTTGTTCTTCTTATATTAAAAAAACATTTTATGGCTGAATAATATTCCATTGTATATATGTGCCACATCTTCTTGTGGCACATATATACAATGGAATATTACTCAGCCATAAAAAGGAACGAAACTGAGTTATTTGTAGTGAGGTGGATGGACCTAGAGACTGTCACACAGAGTGAAGTAAGTCAGAAAGAGAAAAACAAATACCATATGCTAACACATATATATGGAATCTAAAAAAAAAAAAAAAGGTCATGAAGAACCTAGGAGCAAGACGGGAATAAAGATGCAGACCTACTAGAGAATGGACCTGAGGATATGGGGAGGGGAAAGGGTAAGCTGGGACAAAGTGAGAGAGTGGCATGGACATATATACACTACCAAACGTAAAATAGATAGCTAGTGGGAAGCAGCTGCATAGCACAGGGAGATCAGCTCGGTGCTTTGTGACCACCTAGAGGGATGGGATAGGGAGAGTGGGTGGGAGGGAGACGCAAGAGGGAAGAGTTATGGGGATATACGTATATGTATAACTGATTCACTTTGTTATAAAGCAGAAACTAACACACCATTGTAAAGCAATTATACTCCAATAAAGATGTTAAAAAAAACAAAAACAAAAACTTGCTGCTTTTGCATAGCAAAATTTAATTCAGTAATCTGAGGCCACTTTCCTAATTTATCAGCTTTCTCTAACCCTCGCTGGAGAATATTTATGGCATACCCCATCTTAAAATTATCAACAATCTTATAACACATTCAACTCCATTCTCCAGGTCACTAATAAAAATATTGAATATTAAGAGTTAAAACAGACTTCTTGCAGAACTGTATTCAACATCCTTCCTCAACTTGACATAAGACCATTCATTTGACTTTCCTTGGCTAAGTCTTGTCCATTTTTGGAGCAAAAATTATGTAATCCAATATTGTCTGATGTTTTTAAACTAAAAAAAAATACACTATGCAAATCTTAAACATCTACATAAAACAGATGTGTACAATAATACGATCTGTATAGAACCTTGACAAATTACCACATTTAAAATGGAGAAGAGGAATTAATTCCTTGTAGAGTGCTTTATGGTTGCTGTGATCAGTTATCACATGAACGCCTTTTGAGGCTTAATTTCTAACGTGTAAGAGATGTTGAAAGAAATAACAATCTGTAATAAGATTCCACATTGGCACACAAACACATGCATACATGTGAGATTTTAAAAAGTCATACTAAATCTATGATGACAATTCATGTTTGGCATAAAAATAATAAAAGCTCAGTATTTCATTTTCAAGTAAAAGTACTAGTCGATTCCATACACAAGACAAAAATACCTAACATGAATTTTTCTAACAATTCTTTTTAATATATAAAGTATTTTATGGACAATATTTCTTTTGTTTCTTTCTCTTGGAAGGCCTAGATTATGGCTAATATCTCATGACACCAAAAGTAATACTGCAACAGATATTAAAGCATTTTTTCAGCCACTTATGCTATAAAATATTAATTGCAAGCCTGTGCATGTGCTGTATATACAGGGGATTAGGTAACTGAGTTCCTGCTCAGTTCTAAATCAATAAAAGATAACATGCACAGCATCCATCATCGTTTTCTCTTCCTTTAGTACATAATAACTGCAAGTGGAAGATTTTTAAAAATATATATTTAAGCACTCGTGGAGATAACATATGCTGAAGAGGACGTAAGCAATACTTACCTAGGAAGGACAGGTTTTTCTCCAGAAGCAAGTCCCTGAGCAGAACTTCATGCTCATGACCAATGGCACTGGGAAGTGTTAGTTAAGGAGGGTAACATAGGTAGAATTAAAGCACGCTAATACCAGGGCTATACTTTGAGACGAAATGACCCATGGAGGTAATTACAGCAAGTACCTCCTCATACAGCCCACATCTCTGAGGAGTGAGATTTCTTTACAAATCCCCTCATTTAAGTGATTCGATAGACTTTTTTCTATAATGTTTAAATGGATTTTGGCAAATAAAGATTTGTAAATGGATGTGTACTTTATCTTCTTTTGAAAAGAAATTCATTTTAAACATCCTTTATGCTATGTTAAAAATCCCTCAGTTCAATTTAGGACCATTTATTAAGCACTTACAAGGTGCAGCAAAGAATACCAACCAGCCTTTGCCCTAAAAGAGTTTCCAGTCTTACAGAGTTCCATAAATCTTCTGTGAATTCACACTTGTCACAAAGCCAGCATTTAGCAGCTCCTATTTCACTTCTAGTCTATGACTGGTGATCTTCTGTGACTTGGGAAGTCAAACAACTGACTTGTTGAGAATTATATGCACTCTGGAGGAAAGACATCCTAGTAAAGGGTTGTGGATCAGGGTGTGGGTACAGAGGCTGTTTCAAGTCTTTTTCTCGTGTGTGCAAGTTTTCACATATTATATAATGCATATAAATACATACACACTCACACATGAATATTTTGAGTGCTGGGACTTCCCTGGCGGTCCAGTGGTTAAGACTCTGTGCTTCCACTGGAGGCGGCGCAGGTTTGACCCCTGGTAGAGGAACTAAGATCCCGCATGCCAGGCGGCCAAAAAAAAAAAAAAGTTTTGAGTGCTACTATGAGGCAGGCACTGTATTAAGTGCTTTATGTATTATATTTCATCCTCACAGTTATTATTATCCTTATCTTACAGATGAGAAAACCGAGGCTTAGAAAGAAATCTGCACAAGGTCATATGGCTAATATGTGGCAGAGCAGAGGATCAGTATAAAATCTCTGCAAAGCCTATGTCTGTGACCTCTGTACGGCTTCTTTAAAAAATATTAAAATTGATTATGTAAAGATAATTGATATTAGTTAATATTTCTTAAATACCATGTACTAAGCCTTTGTGCTAAACACTTTGGTGTATCATCTTATTTAATCTTCACAACAATCACATTAGCAGGTACCATTACTAGTCCCATTTTTACAGTTAACGAAAGCAAGGTTCAGGAAGGCTGAAGAACCTGCTGACAGTCTCATGGCCAGTAAGTAATGAAGTCAGGAAAGAAACTTGGAATTCTGGTCTATTTTCCAAAAGGATGAGATTGTACAAAGTGTGAAAAGGAGTGTTATCCTATTCTGGTACTTTAATTCTGTCAAAAGCATTTGGTAACATAGGCAGACCTTGCAGATATTGTGGATTCAGTTCCAGAATAAAAAAAATATCGCAGTAAAGCAAGTTACATGAATTTTTTGGTTTCCCAGTGCATATAAAAGTTATTTTTACACTATAATGTAGTCTATGAAGTGCCCAAAAGCATTATGTCCAAAAAAATGCACATACCTTAATTAAAAAATACTTTATTGCTAAAAAATGTTAACCATCATCTGAGCCCTCAGCGAGTCCTAATCTTTTTGCTACTATAACATCACAGATGACGGTAACAAATATAATAATGAAAAGGTTTAAAATACTGTAAGAATTACCAAAAGGTGACGCAGAGACAGGAAGTGAGCAAATGCTATGGGGAAAATGAATCCAACAGACTTGCTCGATGCTGAGTTGCCACAAACCTTCAATTTGTAAAAGGCATAATATCTGCACAGCGCAATAAAGTGAAGCACAATAAAATGAGGTGTGCCTGTAATTATCTAATTCTCCATCTCACTGATGCCAACCTGGTCCTATCACTCCTTGGCTTACCAGAGACTCTTTAATTCTGATCATGCACTGTGAGAGTCCAATTTAAATGAAATAAAGTTATATATTATTTGTAAAATTAAAAATTCTTAGAGAATTAGTCTGCTCTTTATCAACACATACAGGTGAATATCATTTAAATCTTAGAATTCAAGAGGTGAGACCACTCGTATCCACTGTCAAAACAAGCCCCAAGTCATTATCATTGTCTTTTTCCTTCTGCTGTCTCCTCCTCCCCATGCATAGGACTGCTCCTACTTCTCACTGAAAACAAAATAAACAAATTCTTAAATCACAAAATTTCACACATTTGCAGAGTCCATTGAAGATATCTGATGAATACCTCTCATGGTTTCTCATTACTAGGGGCATCCCACATTTGAGAACTAAATTATTTACTTCTATTCCACATAAATGTGCTCTCACTTTTATTGTTGTAAATTATTTACATCTAAAATGTTGAATCATGAAACCAAGGTTACTGATGGTACAGAAATGAAACCCACAGCACTTCAAGCTTCCTGTACTCTTGTCTTTCCTTGCTCCTCTGTTTAGGTCTTTGTCTAATAGCTTGTCCTGAAGTCACACTTTGGAAAGTTGAGGTGGCCGGTTTCTCACGCCTTTTGTGTCCGTGAATATAACCTGTGGCAGGAAAGGTGAGTGGGCGTGGCTATGTAGGAAGAATTACAGTAGACACCAAAAGAAAAAGAAAGCACAATGACAATTTATATACTCTTTGCTACTGTGCTTTTTTGGCGTCTTATTAACAAATGACCAATTTACTTTATTCTACTTAAACAAATGTCTACATGTAACATTTTCATAATGGAGTAAAAAGGTTTTGCACCTATTCTATTTATTAAGTGTGTGCTTTCTAATGAAATGATGCAATTTACCGAGTAAGCAATGTAAACGTTACCAAATTATCAGAACAACATACAAATAGCATTTCCACTCACATGAAAATTCAATAATTTTTACTCAGTGTGAAATAAAATAATTCCTGTTGATCAGCCTCAGAAACATCTATGCAAGTGTATTTACATTATATTAAACCGCTACTATCTCAGTGCAAAGATAAAATCAATTCTCTATGAACATCCCAGCCTGTTTTATTTTGCACGGTAAAAGCAATCACTAATTTGAAACTTTGGAAAGATATACTTCTTGATTATGCTTTGTTTGATATAAACATATATAAAATACAAGGTCTAGAAAATAAAGCTTATAAAAACAGTAATTTTATTGGCAATAGGCATAATGGAACTGTGAAATTATAATCTAGTCAGTGAATACAATTTACAGACATACATCATTATCTTTATCAACTGAAATCATGTACTACTTTAAATTCTACTGGCAATAACACAGCCAAAAAAGGAAAGTGAATGATGGCAAAAATGCAAGGAAAATACTCCAAACAGAATTTATAATGCTTCATAAGCAGAAACACTTAGACTTTCTCTATAATAATACCTATTATTGATGTATGGCAGTGACCATGGGGCAAAACTTGTAAATAACCTCACAAGCCATTTTCTTCCCCAGCAATACAGCAATCTGGTTTCCCGTAAGCATCTCAACTATTACTGAAAAACAGCCTCCTGGCATTTGCAAAGCAGTTGACTTCATACGTTAGTCCATGCATATATAATTAGATAGTTATATTTAAAATCAATAAGCAATCCTTCAAAAGACATTACGCTTTTAAAACCTTAACTTTAAATTGATTTTTAACTATTTTATGTGCTTCAAAATTAACATGTAATTCCACCCCAGATACTCTGAGATGGTGTTAGTTGTTATATGAATGTGCTAAACTTTATCACTGTAGCAATGTGAGGTTGGCATTCCGACAGTTTCTAACACTATCATTAATTTTACACTGAAAATAGAAGTATAGTTTCACTTTGGTCTAATAAAGAGGTAAGCTTATGACAATGCTGTGATTTTTATTAATTTAAGTTAGATTGGAATAAGAAATATACAAAGGGCTATAATATATTAATATTATATATTAATAAATATAATAGATTAAGTTAGATTGGAAGAATAAATATACCAAGGGCTGTAACATAGATACTGAATATTCTTACAAGAGGACTCTGCTAAAAGATTATTTTTCAAAGGTTAACTTTATGAAAAAAAGAAAATGAATCTTTTTTTTTACAAAAATTTCATTGACTCCTAACAAAAAGCCTCCTTACTGGTAATCACCGAGTCACAACTGGTCGCAATGCCACCCATGCTAACAAAACCCAGGAAGGGCATGTTATATTATTAAGAAATATGAGACTCATGGACTCAGATAGATATGATTCCCATTAAAAAATTGCTAATTATTTACTTTTTGAATAAACTTTTTGAGCCAAGGACTGTCAATATCCTTAGTGTTGCCACAACACTACTAAAGGTATTGATTAAAAATGTCCTCCTTCACCACGTCTAGTTGCTGTCCACTCAAATCCTGTTTGAAGAAGCAAGCATTAACTCTAGTAATCTCAATATCTTTAATGAAGAATGACTGGACATCTGTTCTCATAGCCTTAAATTCAGTCCAGAGGGAAAAATTAGCTTGGTTTTCTCTAAAAATGTTTATTAGGAACCCAAGCAAGAGCTCAGATTGTAATCAACATTTAAGCAATAAGAATCTACTGCCCTTTAAAACGTGATAGTCTCTGGTGGCATTTTAATCACATCATCCTTTAACTCCAGGCTCAAAATTTATTCTCAACTAAATTTGGTTCATTTTAAATAGAAATGTGTTATATTTGAAAAAATGTTCACTGGAATGGTTAGACATCCCAGACAATGTGTTACTTGCCTCATGACTCTGTACCTTTAAACTCACTGAAAACCAAGCAGTTTGAAATAAGCCTGTAACTGTGCAACTGCTGAACTGACATCTTCCCGGGGCCTATCTGATTTTTTTTTTTTTTTAAGCTGTAGAAAAGAATGGTCTGCAGTGACCCTCCAGTTGATTGAATATAAAATAGAAGAGTATGATATGTGTTTTGTGAAGCAGAACTTTATGTCAGGTTAAAGCTAGACACATCTCCTCCACTGAGTCTAAGCTCGTCAATTGTGCACCTAAAATTTTATGGGAAAGGATACTGTTTGATGCAGTCCACCAGTGGTCCATAACAGCAGTCGTTCACGATGCACTGCAGACAAATAAGAGAAGGGGTCTGGGATGAGTGACTACAAAAACTGTTGCAGTTAAATAGTATCCTAAAAGCAGTCATTCCTTTTCCTAAAAAAAAAAATTTAAAAAGCTATCAAAAGACTGTTCAGATTTAATCACAGAAAACAAAAATTGCATCCTTTTTATTCACTATAAAAGCAAGCTATTAAAAAGTGAAATGCTCTTCTCGCAAATATTGCATTGCCATTTATGGTGCACCCTGACCTCAGTGATAGTTTATGATGACAGTAATTAAATGAGGTTTAAAATCCTTTACTCTGCTAGGCAGATAACAGCATTGCCACTGAAAATAGACAGCTGTGATTAATACCTGATAGACCTGATTTGCTAGAACTCCATCTGGAATCTGAGAAGGGTCCCGTAGCATACTATTTATAACAGACTTGGAGGCTGCAGAAGAAAAGAGATGAACTGTTAGCAGACAGTCAACATACTTTTAATACAACATGAGAAGTGACATATACCTATAAATACACAAAGCATGAAAATGAAAACATTACTGATACTAATCATTTTTTTCCTTTTTTCAAATCTACGGGAAGCTTTTAATTAGACCATTTTGCCAAGTTTATAAGCCACATTGCCAGATTTGAAGATGACCTAATTTTTCCAAGGTAAATTAACAAGTACAGACCTAAAGCATATGTCTCTTTGCAGATAAATTAGCTTTGGAAAAGCCCACTTGGGGGAAAAAGAAAACCACAACAAAAACAATCAGAAAAGAAAATATTTACCTTTTGCAGGTAAGTATGTTATAATCAAGCATATGTACCTGGAAAGCTTAGTGAAGGCAGGTCAGATTCAAAGACTTCAATGACGTCAATAAAAAATAACTTTCAGCCGAGAAAGCATCTCTGAATTCTAAACCTTTCTGAAATAATTCTCATCAACTGCCACGAAATGTTATGTCCATTTCACAGGTAAGGAAAGTAGGTAAAACTGACTGACAATAGAGCAAATCTTTTTTTTTTTTTTTTTGCAGTATGCGGGCCTCTCACTGCTGTGGCCTCTCCCGTTGCGGAGCACAGGCTCCGGATGCGCAGGCTCAGCGGTCATGGCTCACGGGCCCAGCCGCTCCGTGGCATGTGGGATCCTCCCGGACCGGGGCACGAACCCGTGTCCCCTGTATCGGCAGGCGGACTCTCAACCACTGCGCCACCAGGGAAGCCCTGAGCCAATCATAAATAAGGGAAAATAATACACACACACACACACACACACACACACACATTTATATTTATATACGAATTTTTGTCCCAAAACGTCTCATCACACCCAGTTGCAAATTAAATTGACCTTATCCTGGGGAACCGCAACAGAAGGGACTATGGGAGGCATCTTCTGAGGGATGCTATATCAGATCACACCCTTTGAAAAGTGAGGCAGGAGATCCTGGCCTCACTGTTTACTGTAGGCATGCAGAAGCCATGGTGGCCAGAACACCTCTTCCTCAGCATGGGAGGAAGGCAAGTCTCTAGATGGAAGCTAAGTCAGGTGTTGCTTAGGAACCAATTCCTTCAAGTCCTCCAGTGGAATCATTCCCATTTACCAAAATAGCTTAGGGTCTGGTCCCCACAAGCACAAACTAAAATGCATACTGGATAATTATCTAGTTAAACAGAATGAACACAGACCACAGACCTATGTCATTCAGGTTCTGAGAAAGTTTTTGGCTTAACGTATTTTTTTAGATTATGATGTTCTTTATCAAGTTCAGTACTATAAGAACACTGACAGATAGGATAAATGTTAGTAAATTCTGTGGAAGGAAATAAGGAAATGACATCTTTCTCACTTAAGCATAGTATGGAGTACACAAAGAAAAAATGAAGCGCAATAATTTTAATTATTTCCTATTCTTAGTCCCATAACTGCATGTTCATAGCAATGTTATATAGTTAATAGCCATTTATAAATGTGTTTGCACTGCAAGTGGAGAGGCCATATTTGGAGTCTCAGAAAAGATCATCATCACTGGAGGAATCCTATCCAGCCCTATCCCTAAGCCAGCTCTGCAACCTGGCAAATTATGGAACCTCTCAAATTCAGTGTCTTCCTCTGTAGAAAGTGATAATGTTATCTGACATGACTACCTTTAAGGGTTCTTACATGAGTCCCTAGAGAAAACAGCTACAACAGCTTTTTTGTTATTTATTTTGTTAAAGTTTAAGTAATAATAAGAAACAAATCAGGCTTAGGCATTTGCCTCATGTAAGCTTAAGTTAGACTCAATTATTTCGGAAAGACATTACCATGGATAAGCGGAACAAACATTGGAAATGTGAAGCAGCAAACTGTCTTATTATAAAAGAATAGATTATTCCAACAATAGTGTTAAATAGATAGAAAAGTACCTGGTAAACTCACTCTGTTTTCCCAACTTAATTCTAAGGCCAGGCTAGTAGGAGGGGAACAAAGCAATCGCACATGCACTGGGTCACCTTCCCTGAGGGACTGCACTCTCTCTGGTCTGCCACTCAGTCACCGGATAGTAATGGCAGACACATTCCTTTGTGGTACCCATGATGCTATCAGTGTCTCAAGGGAACAAAAGCACCTTCTCCACATGCACCTGGTTATTGCTAAGTTATTACACTGCTAACTCTCATACCCATGTGAGAAGAAGATTACTAAATGACCAGACAGTATACCCAAAAGTGCTATTCTAGGGAAAATTACTGACCTCATACCAAACTATATGCAAACTCATTGCTAAAATCATAAAACAAAGGCCCTTTTTAAAAAAGAAGAGGGACAATACCCTAGTACAGAAAAAAATTAGGTCATTTATTTTATGAGGGAAGAAAGGGAAATATTAAAGAAAAAAGAAACTGATGACATCATAATTTTCCTCACAATATACATTTTAGAACAGTGTGCTTACCAGAATTAAGAATCATTGCCAATAAACTTTAAAAAAATAGTTTGAATATATTGAATAGAACACTATTCAAATCAAAGGAAGCTTGCGAGAGGAAGTCAGTGATTTTAAATTGAATAGTAAAAACTATATATTGAGTCCGCGTTCATTTTAAACTCAAAAAAAGCTCTTTTCTCTTCTTGCAACCTGCCGTTTTTCAGAGCACGAGAGAAAAGTGCTAACACATAGGAACTGCAGGCCAAGGCTCCAGATGCAGGATGTGCCTGCCCTCCATGCCTGGGTCTTTGCACTCAGGCTTGAGGAGGTCTACATCTCAGATCAAGCCAGAGTGCAAGCATACATTTACACACATACTCTGAAGCTTAGGCAATGCCAAAGGGAGGAATAATAACATCAACCAGATAAGGAAAGGCAATTGGACAATCTTGGGACGGCTGGGGATAGGAACCCTCACGGAAGCCTATGACTTTCACAGAAGCTGTCCCTAGGCCAGCCATGATATCTGTCCAATGTACATCAATCTATTTTGACCACAGGTAGACAGGAGTTTTGTTCTCCCTAACCTTTGCTAGAGGTAGTCATTCTGTTGATTTCACAATTTAACCCTGTCACTGCTTCAACTGCTGGGATTTCAACTATCTACCAAGCATGTGCAAAGCAAGAATGCATGAGTCACTTGAAGCAAGATGTACAAGAATAGGAGAGCTGGTATCTGTTAAAGCACGCTACACAGAAGACAGGCAAGAGGCAATGCCTGGACTAAGGCATAATGCCTAAATAAAGATCATGATCTTTTTATTGTGGAATATTTCTAACATAAAGAAGGCAGGAAGCTAATATAATAAATATCCACGTCCCACCATTCTGACTTAGCTTCTGGATCGGCAATTAAATTAACTTTGGAGAGCCTAAGATTAATTTGTGTAAACTTTTAAACTTATCACTCTTGCTAGAGGTTGGTTTGTTTTACTAGTATTTTCAAGAAACCAAATTTGGGTTTTGCTTTCTCTCTACTGCTCCATTTCTTCAAGTTACATTGAATTTATCCTTTTGTGATCATTGTTTCCTGCTTTCTTCTTTGAGTTTGCTACACTTATCCTTTTACTAATTTACTATGTTTATTAAATACATTTTTAATCTTTTAACATACTTTTTAAGGCTATAATTTTTCCTCTAAATTCTGCTTTAGCTACATGCCATAATTTTTGCTGTCATTTATAAATATTTTGTAGTTTCCATTATGATTTAATCTTTGACTCATAAATTCTTTTAAACATTTCATTTTTTATATTTCCAATTTGATCTGATTGTGGTCAATGTATGTGATGTTTATTTTAATTTGGAAGTATGTGCTTGACTTCCTTTGTGTTTTTATATGGAACATATTTTTATAAATGTTTTATATATCTTAAAAATCACTGAAGTTCCTATTGAGGTACAGAGTTCAGGTATGTCTAGTATGTCAAGGTTTTTAATTGTATTATTCAAATCTTATATATTCTTATTAATATTTTCCACACTAGATATGAACTAATCTACTACTACTGTCAGTTTGTCAGTTTCTCCACATAATTCTATCAATGTTTGTTTTCTATATTAGGAGGCTATTTTGTTGGGTGTACAAACTCATTGTTTTACATATACTTCTTAGAAATTATATCTTTTGGCATCAAGTCATAACCTTCTCAATCTCTTTTTTTGTGCTAAACATAACATTACCTAGTGGTAATACTGCTGCACCACTTTTCTTTTGGATAGTATCTGCCTGATATATCTGGTATTCCATTTCTTTACTTTAAACTTCATTTTATCATTAAGTCTTAGGCCTGACTCTTATTAATAACATTTAGCCAGATTTTCTAAAATCAAATTTGAAAATCTTTGCTTTTTAAAACGTGAGTTTAATCCACTTGCAACTGAGACATTTGGACTTATCTCTACCCTCTTGTTTTCCATGTTCTGGTAACCATTTTCTTCCCTTCTCCATTTCTCCTTTACTACCTCCTAGTTGATTAAATTTTCTTCATGCCCCCTTTCTCTCTTTATTCACTTGAATGTAATACACTTTGTATCTACTTCTTCAGTAGTCCTCTCAAAAAAATTTAAACAATATCTAATCTAATCATACCTCCTTTGTAATTCTGAGTATAAGTAATTTAGAATGCACTCACTCCAATCAGAAAGCCCCCATTCCTCATCAGCCTCCATGTTATTGTGCCTATTATTTCTGTTCAACCATCTTGTTTGTAAACACAATTTCCTAGTTAGTCTTTGTGATGGTTAATTTTATGTGTCAACTTGATCGGGCCACAGGGTGACACATTTGGTCAAATATTATTCTAGATGTTTGTAAGGGTGTTTCTGGATGAGATTCACATTTGAATTGGTAGACTGAGTAAAGCAGATTGCCTTCCCTAATGTGGTGGGCCTCATCCAATCAGCTGAAGGACTGCCTAGAACAAAAAGACTGAGTAGAAGAGAATTCTTTCTGCCTAACTGCCTTTGACTT